CAGGCGGGGGTGGGACCGGGGCGCTCCCTTTGCCCAGACCCTGGAGTCACCCGTCGCTGCCGGGTCCCCCCACGGCCCCGAGATGCGACCCGCGCAGGGATGGGGGCGGCTCCTCCCGCCGCGGACCGCAGGGGAATCGCCTCTCCCTGCGGTGGGGTAGCTGGCGATGTGCTGGTGCTCGACCACGGGAAAATCCCAGTGTCCGTAGGTGTGAGAATGCTGCTCATTGGAATTCATGGGAACCGTCATTAAATCAACGCATCCTCAGGTCCTGCAAGTCTCTGAATCTGCTGCAGGAAAAAAAAAAATCACATCTGTCTAGTCCTTTGGATTGCAAATGAATGTATGGAGAGAGCGGCTCCTTCCCTGGGAGAAATCAAAGCCTGTTTGACTGAAGCTCATTTTCACACCATCAGCTGATGCAGCTCACACTTCAGATGTTTTCAAATTCTTTTTAATTTTCTAGGAAAAAAAAAAAAAAGACAGACAGAAATCCTGAAGAAAAGTGTCTCTCTCCAAAGCACCTGCCCAGGCTCTTACACTCTTACATTTTGTGCTGCCAAATGTCTGGTTAGTAAGATTAAAACCAGTGTATTTTCTTAGATGACAATAATAGTATGACATTTCTCCTGTCTGACTATAAATGTAAGTGAAAAAAGAAAGTGTTTTGATGGCAAAGAATTAGATTCAGCTGCTGATAATATTAAAATACTGCAGATTTTTTTTTTTTTTGTAAGAATGATGCCTGAATCGTGCTTTCTTTTTTCTTATTACCTCCCAGATATTTCATTACATGGCAAGAATTCTGAAAACCTGTTCCTTCTTTTGGAAAACCTGATGCTTTTCCCGACTTGTCTCTCTGAGGTTTTGCTTTACAGAGTCTCTTCAGCACAAACAGCACGTGTGTCTTGCTGTGAAGTATTGCTTGATGTTTGCCTTTCATCCCCAGGAAGAATTCTTGTTGGTAATTATTTCAAAAGTTTGAAACTGATTTGAAATGTATGGAATGCTGGGAAAGCATAAAGGAAAAGTTCAGCTCTTAAAAAAAGGAGAGGAAAAGAAAGCAAGAGGAATGGGCTGTGACAGAAACATAGTTCTGGTGTTGTTTAAGAGGTAGCTGTTAATACAGAAATAGAAAGTGTAACAATTGATCCGAAGTTTCTGAAAAGTTGCACTTTATGATTTTTTAAAGTAAAAACACTTTACAGCTGCCAGGGGTTTGGAGGGGGAATTTTCTGACCTGTTCCAGGGACGTGGACACACAGAACACCAAACCGGGAAGCTTCTTACAAGCTTAGAAAGAAACACAGGCAGAAAGGAAAAAAAAAAGTTTATGTTCTTTATGGAAACACTGGAGTGCAAAATGTTTGGTTCAAAGTTACCAGAAACTCCAGCAGAGGAGCTGGGAGAGAAGCTGCACCAGAGACCTGCCAGGCTAGTGCCTGGTGACAAAACCTGGGAGGTGCCCAGCCGTTGGTCCGGGCTGAAATACCCCAGAAATGAGCATCCTGGGGGGGTGGGAAGGTGGGAGGTGGAGGGAGACCCTGCGGGCTGCACGCCCCCAGACCACCCTGCCTGCTGCCCCCCCCCCCCCGCGGGGCCCTCCTCGCGCGTTTTTCGTCCGG